AAATCCTCTAAAATCAAGTTAATATTCTTGCACTCCTTTATACATCAACATTCAAAGACTATCTGAATTAAATTTGAAAGTGTTTTTTGCATATATGAAGAATACAGGCATTTGCAACACATCTGTTGCTTCTAGATACAAATCCAAAATTTCCTTGAGTACTTACTCGGACAGTTTCTTTGTTATCTAGGTTGAACACACTTATGATTTAACAAAAATGTACCAAAAACAGTCTTAGCCTTGTTAAAGCGGGTACTATTTGACTGTTTCATGGTACATGTGAACTTGCTTTTTAAACAAAATTGTTTTTTGACACACTAAAACCAAGACTTTCAATGAAACATCTTTCGTCTATTGACCATATATTCAATCATTGATACGTTTAAGCCACAAATTCTTTGATGATCCAATTAATTGGCTGTTTGTTGAAGTTTATATTGTTTGATTTAATTGAACTAGCGAAATCGATTGTTATTACTGCTTTTTGACACTTGCGGTGATCTTTTGCGTCTTTCGGTGCCAGATATAGCGGTACTAGACGTGGCAGCATTTACCCAACGATCGCAAATTTTACATATTTGTGGCTAAAACAAAAGTCAAASTTTTTGGGTAAATTCATCAGTAATGAATGTAGAAAAATGAAGCCATAGTGTAACTTTAAGCTTTTAATGTTGGAAGCCCACGTGATCATGTGATCTAGTATTTCACTAGTATTCATCGATTTGTTTCAGCTTTGCTTTGATTTTGTYCTGGTATTCTCGTTTTCCTTGCGAAGAATTTTTATTAGGCAAACTCAATTTTTTGTAGCCTACCAACAWGAGAAATATTAATCAATGTTACGTCTTGAAGTTTATGTTGTTTGCTTAATAATTGAACTCCAAAGATGTCGATCATTGATTTCAATTGAGAGAAGTGTTTTCTTGGGGATTCAGTTTTTATTGTTTTTTGACACTTGCGGTGATTTTATTTGTTTTTCGGATCCAGATGTAGCGCTTGTGGTCGACATAGTTGTAGCTCGAGTGGTATTCATCTCGCCGGCGCTCGCCGACGTTTATTATATCCAGAACCGAATTTAAATTATAAAACTATATTCATAAACCGTTTACTTAAAATTCTATTCGTTAAGTAATTATAATTTGATTCATCGTTATATCTTTTTGTATTCTTCTTCACAATCAATCTTCGAGTTGTGTTGCCACTGGTGGGTTGTTTGAATCCTGAAAATAAATCCTTTTTGGTATTGTTGTTCCTCCCATCATCACATGTATTTCATTATTGCTGTTATTGAAATAATCCTTAGAAATTTGAAAGCCCACCATGAAGTTACCTTCATTGTCATTGTAGACTTCTGTGTGTTGAGCCAGCCCAACGGCTGTCAGTGACAGATCTACTCAACCACCCATGGCTGAATCAAGACAAGGTGTCAGATGTAGTTTTGGAGACCCCATCTAGGATTACAGCTAATGAAGTAAGATGTTCTTTTGTCTGATATTTATTCTTTGGTTCGACCTTAAACGTTAATAGAATTTCCTTATAATAATGATAACCTGTCAAGTTATTCCAGCTTACAGTGATGGTAATTGTGGACACCTAAATCTGTCTAAATCTAATATAGTTAACCCAGGATACAAGAACGTAAAATTTAAGAACCTGTCAGACTGAAATGCTCATTTTTAGGACTATGGCCATAAGAACCATTTCAGCCTAACATTTCAGCCTAGATTCTTTTTCTCCAACATAATGTGAATCTGTTTTATTTTATGTTTATGTTTTATTTTTAGAGTGCTTACGCTGGGTTTGCAGTTATATTATATTCCATTGTAGCTAGCATGGACCCCATTTAAAAACCTATACAGCCTGACTTCCAGMACCACTTATATAAGAAACTAATTACGCTGACTTGAAAAAATCTAAGTTCTTACAAGGGTCCAGAAAAACTGTCATGCACTGCACTGAGGTCCATTGAGGGCAACTAGTTTATCAGCTTTTATTACTGTTATGTGTTACCCTTGTAAAATAAATTATATTGTTTTTGTAATGTTTTGTACTGCATCATTAATGAGAAACTGGCARAACTTACAGCCATTTTTTGGATGCTTGCTGGATGCATGCACCTCAACACATACAAAAATGATTGTGTGCTAATTCTTTTGTAKCGATTAACAGCTATAGTTGTTTCAAAGATTATGTTCATTCAACTAAAATTCTATATGTTTACAAAGTTCCAAAGTTTCAGTATGCAAAATTATTAAAAAGTCCAGATCATTCAAAGTATACACAAATATCTGAAATTTGAATCCAACTTATCCAGTCCACTGTTCACGTTTCAAAAATATCAGATAAATATCGGATATTAAG